GAAGCGCGCGATGCAACAGCTGTGGACAATCATGACCCGACCGCGGTGGACGGTCCGGAACACTCGCCCTATGCTGTGGACTTTTGCCCCTCTGGATGCCTGCGCATCCGTGATAGCTGCCAACACGGCTCTATCGACTGCCCCGCCATTCAGAGCGTCTGGCAGGACGCCTGGCCCGTCCTACAAGCGCTCACGTCCGTCACCCTGGCATATCCAGGGTCGCTCTCCCGCGTGGATGTCATCTCCGCATTGCGAGACCATCGCGCTCTTCGCAGGGCCAACATCAAGCACATGCGCGTTGTCCTATGGCGCAACGCCGTCATCTTCTACATCTACTCTCGCCGCCATGCGCAGATTGCAGCGGCACGCGCAAACTACACAAACGCAGCTTTTGTCTTCACAGACGTCACAAAATCAGTGGCACACACAGCTTTCTCGATGCTTCAGTACGCCGCGCCCAAGCAGGGCTATGGCGAGAAATTCCAAAAGACTTTCATTGAAGGCGGCACCTTTGCAAACATGAACAACCTCGACCTCACACTGGATGAGCCTCCAACTTGGATGCCTTGAGCCTCGCTTGGCGCCAGCACCTTACCTACTGCGCATTCCATTGCGCACCAAAGTACAACCTCTGCAACTTAGAACCGCCGAGTTCAGCCCATGCACACGCGCATGCCTACCTACTACCGACGCCGCTTGTGACACTCGCTCTGCTTTTGGGGGCTTACCTTGCCAACTCGGGCGCTCAGCTCGTGCTCTGTCCTGGCCCTCCCAACCTGCTAAGCTCTGTCCCCGCATCGCTTCACAACTCAACCCACCCCACTCACCTTGCATGTAGCGCTACCTTGGTACCTCGTGCAATGTGAATGAAAACAATAGAAAAAAACAATGGCCTCCTTTTTACTGCCTTGCCCGTTTCTGGGAACAACTCCATCTTAACGCACTGCGTTCTCATTGGGTATGGAATCTGCTCTTCATTGCAAACAGAACAGTGCAAAGCTGACACTTATCCAAGCAGAATTGACCAAGTTACGCCCAGATCGTCGTCAAAATAGCTAGGATGCATCCTCAAAAACGCGTCGCGCAGACACCCTCTCCTCAGCCCGCTAAAGGACATCAGCATTACGCACCCCATCACACCGCCAATAGACGGGTCTATCCACTACACATCCCCCTGTGGAGGTCTGAGGCCGATCCGATCACTGTTGGCCAAGTTACGTGGCGAACGCCCTCGCGCAGCCCAGACTGCACCCTCATAAGCGCGTGAAACAGACGCATTCTTTGGCACCAACCGAAGATGACAGAAACAACGCATCACAAAACCTCACTGGCAGGCAGAACCCTCCAGCCCGCGCCCCCCGGTGAAGATTCAGAGCGAATCCGAGCACCGCTGACTGAGTTACGCGAGATTGACGTCAGCGTCGTCAACAGAGTGTCGCCCCATGACGCACCAAACAAGTACCCTTTGCGGCGCGTGCCAATGATCGCGATGGTGAGGCGCCTGAGCGCATCACTAATAAGTAGATCTCCCCACCCCGGACACACCCCTGAAAACCCAGCGCCAATCCGATGGATGGCGGCTGAGAATGCGGGATCGGCGACAAAAGTCGTCAACAGGTCACCATCCCAGGACGCGTCCTGCGGACATTCCCGGCCGCGCGCTGACAAACGCCACCACAATGCCCACGTCCTGTTGCCATGATGGACTTATCCTTTCAATGCACACAGATCAGTGAAGCTCTCGAGCGGCCACAAGCAGTAATGGCCAAGATATGTCTGCGCGCTGTCATTTCTCTCAACAGGGCGAGCTCTCCAGCGGCATCACGACCTGGTGCAAGTCAACCTCTCATTGGGACACTGTGCGCTAGCACACACAACCTAGCCTGCGAGGCTGGCGTAGAGCCACCAAAGACACGATTGATCAAGGCACGACTATGACGTCCTACTCCACGTCGGAGACGAGGGAGCTGCCAGAGACGCAAGGCCGGACAGCAAAATTCACATCTCTCTCAGCCCCTCTGAGCAATGCAAACCGAAGAGCTACCGCAATGGGCCGCGCGCGCTGCCTCGCTTTGACAAAAGCGAGGCTCACATGTGAGACTGTATCGCGGAGATGACTGGATGCATTGACGACTGACAAGCACAGGGACTCTTGAGCCCGCCGACGTTGTAGACGCTTTCTCTGCAGAGGAACACCATCTCCAACGCGACAGAAATTTAAGAACGGCCCTGCACTGACTGAGAAAGGGAGGCAACTCTGATCCTCGACACAAGTCCGGCTACTGGTCCCCACAAAGCTACACAATGGAACCCTCCCTGTGGCCCTGCGTTGCGAGGTTGAATGAGGCGTACAAATTGATCGCAGGGGACAAGCCCAACGGGATTCAACCTTAGGCGGGTTTGAACAGGCTCCACTCATTGCATGGCTAACACTCACAGCGCGAGAGATATCGTTGGCAGAGGCAGGCCGGGAAATGACGCAACAGGTGACACCCGATCAGAACGATGGGCTGGATGTGCGCTGGGAGCATTGTAAAGGCCACCCAAAGAGCAACATTGGGCGGAGCGCAAAATTTTGCCAAGCAGCATGATACGACGCGGCCGGCCAGGCAAACGCAATGACGGGTGGCATAGCGCTCCGATGAGTCGACGGTAATGCGCTTGGGGCTGGACTTATGGGCCGGTACCGAAGCAGATCCTAATGTAGGCTTTACGTAAGAGGTGGCAAAGGTGGCGCGCTCACGCCTGCGCCGGCGCTAGGCAGCAATGTTAACCAAGGAGAACATGTCGGCGCGAGGACATAGATGGGCTGATGGACAGATAAGTAGTGTGTGCTTTACGCAAGACAACGCACCACAGACAGTGAGGATGGTTGGGAGAAGCACGAGCTGCGACAAGGATGAGCTTAGGGCCAATTTTCAGGGTGAGCAAAGACATATATTACAGGCAGGGGGTGAGCTTTGACGTCAACACGCGACCCTAAAACAACACCAGCTCACGCGTCTACGCGTCGAACGACGCATCCGGAGACATGGGAAAGCCGTAGAGCAGGTGCTGTACAAAAACCGGTCTAGCAAGAGCCACCGAGTAGCTAAAGACGCGTCCAAACGCCGCCCGAGTCGCGCGAGACATCATGTTATCAAAATCCTTGCCTCTGCAATGGGAGACAGCGAACACCTAGGCGGTAGACGCCCACAATACGCAAAGCAGATGGTGACTGATTGAGGACGTGCTAAAGCGATGGGCTGGGAGAAGCGGGGGACGAGTGGCGCGACGAGCCGGGAGCGATGAAGTGATGCGGCCACGCGCGCGCTGTCGGATATGCCCCGCCAAAACGAGACTTTTTGCGCAACGTCTCGCGTGCTCTACGCCGGATGAATCTTGTTTGTGCGTCTACGCGGTAAAGTCGGCAACTTGCGGTTGAAAATGAACTTTTCTCGCTTTTGCTCGCGTGTCCAAAGTCACACCCGCGTGGGCAGGTCGCCCAGTGGGGGGGGGAACCCCCACTCCGGCCCAGCTGGGCACGTACTCAGTGTTGCCGCGCTCGAAACAGACATCAGGCCAGGCACTAACCCAGTGTAGTTGTCGTCCTCTTACGACCATACACAGGCACCAGAGCCCAACATAGTCACAAAAACAGCCTGCAGCAAAATGCGCATGATGCAGCTTCCCGGCATCAGGCCCCACTGCAGCTACAAACACGGCCTGCAACAGGATGCGGATGGTGCAGCTTGGCGGTACGGCCGCATGCGCACAGAGCGCTCATGACCTCAGGTCGTGACAACGGGGGCCAGCGGTCGAGGGCACAAGTAGACACACACAGACATACGGCCCTGTCAGAATTGTTTGCACATTCTCGCCCACAAGTGGACTAACACGACCTACACGGCAAAGGCAGCAAACGACATCTATTGCAGAAAAACGACGGCGAGTCGGCTCATGGAACAAGCCGATGAACGCGACTCTGCTGGGCCCTCAACCATGCCGAAGCAAGGTAAAGGGAGAGTGAAAAATTGCCAGCAGCTCCAGGCTGCCGACGAAGACAACGTTGTGATGAGTTTCTTGGCTTGATGATTGCTAGTGTGGCAATGACGACCCATATGAGTCCTGATCCTGATACTTGCGACGTGCTGAATTGCTTCCTCCTCCAGAATGGAAAGCCCGCACTGCCAACCAAACCTCGCCGCACAACGCTTGCAAACGTACGCCAATCAAATGAGTTGCAAGGTCAAGGAGGATGCTCTGCAACCTGCCCTGCCGTGGAGAACATAAGCCTTCCTCTATACAAGGGGGTTGCGTACCAGTGATGTGTCGGTGTAGGCCAAACAATCCAACAAGGAATGCCATCCGCAACATGTTAGTAAACGCAAGAGCCCCAAGGAGTACTTGCTGGTCGAAGCGGATTGAGCGTGTGAATGTGGCAGGCGAGGCGGCGGCTAGCAGATGGGCAGATGGTGGTCGAACAAATGGCCCAATTTGATGGGAGGGCCCTCTTATACGCTCGGTAATACGGCGGGCACCAGAATGCTCTGGAAAGATGTGGTCACATACATGGTGGAGCCCGAGATGGAGCCCTGCCAGGCCAAAGGACCTTTTTGAATCTACGAGCGCTCTACAATAGGCAACTGACGTCTCCCACAATACGGAGAGCAGCTAAGGTCCCCTCCACGATATGTGCACACAACCCGCATGCCCAAACTAGAATGGATGCATGGAAGCCACGCGCATGACACCATGGGAGCAGAACTCCGAACAAAGCTGCTGGCAAAATGGGACCGACCTAAGGTGCTCTGAGGTTTTGATAGTAGGACCGTGAAGCGGGACCATGCGATGCGAGGGCCCATGCACACGCTAGGGAAGACTTTGGTGCTCGGACATACGTACCGATTCACAAAGAATGGCTACACACACAGGGTGGGGAAGCTAAACTCTCAAATGGATCCACCTCGGCGTATACTGCCCAATGTTGAGGATATTCTCAACGCCAATAGGGTGGCTACCCGTAGAGGGCGCCATATCTCGGCGTGCCCCCCCCACCCCCAACAGAACGGCGAGAGTCACCACTGACCTCGAGTCTTGGAGGCTGCTGACTGGTGACATTTCCACGCTGCGCTGAGGCCCTTTGAATACAAAATGGGCATCAAGGATTGGCAACTGGAAGAGCGCCGACGAGGGGACCTAGAGACATTGGCTTGTGAACTAATTCTGGACAAGAGAGCTACTTGACGCAAGCGGCCTGCTCTTAGCACACCGCCTGGGCAATTTTGTGCAGCGCCAACGAGGGGACAGCGACAATAGGTGTGCATGGCAAGACACTTTGGGCAAGTGTCGCTCCGAGCGGATCAAGGCGCGGGCAAGGCCTGAATGGCAAAGAGATGAGCGCAGATGGACAAATGGCGTGCGAAAACATCAACACAAAGAAGTGTACATGCGTCCAGCCGGCATCACGCGCGCGCGCGCTTTTTCGACACATCGGGGAGAAGCAGCGGTGCGGCGCACAACAAACCCACGCACCCGGAAAGGCGCCACAACCCACGCACCCGGAAAGTATGCGCATCGAGCAAAGGGTGACGCGAGAACATCGACTGCACACTTGAAAAGATCCAAAGTCGCTAAAGCATGAAATTGCGCACAACTAGCTATACATGATCTGGCAATGTACGCCACGGCACGCTTGTGGCGGGTGCAGCGTGAGCCGCTGGTGACACTTGAGTGGAGCCCGGGAGCCGATCGTAGATGCCGGGGTATCGCTGCTCGACCTTGCAGCTTAGATCGGTGAATCGCTGCGTGGATGGCCAGCCTGTGCGCAACCGCTTGACGGCCGGATACACGAGTCCCTGCTTCAAGTAGGTAGACAAAGCCCACCTCTCCTCCGTCTCCTGAACCCAATGAGGGCGATGCGTACGGTGAGGGAATGTCCCATTGATCACGAGAAATGTGCCTCTGCGGAGTAGATACATTCCCCCCAGCGTTTCGAGCAATGCATCCGCACCGATGTTGAAGAGGATCGAAGGCGGTTCATTGGTCATGTCCCTGTGCAGGCTCGAGGTGTATCCAGAGATTGGTGTAACTGTCCGACCTAGTGGCGATGTCATGGCAATCATGTCGCCCATGCAACAGCAATTGAAGGGCCTGACCTGCTGTTTGCAGAGACAAGCAGAAAGAACCCTATCCAAGTCTGGAGCAAGACCAGTCCAATGTCGGGTGGACCTGCCGTCTGGATGCGTCTGCGGACAAGGCTGGCTGACAAATGGCAAAAAGAATTCGTGTAAAAAGGATCTCCACCAGAGACAGAATGCGATGCGTGTGCAAAGAATCTCCTCCTTTTCCTCATTGCACGAACCTGCAACTTCAACCATATCCTTGCAGCAAGAAATGTGGCGATTTGCTTGATCAGGCCAAACGCCCAAATGCAGCCGGACACTAGTCTCATCCCTGCCCAATGCATTCAGACCCTCTGCCTGGCAAGCTTTGCGAAGAAGGGACATACCATACTCTAGCGACCGGTTCATAAGCAGCTTGGCATGAGGATCCACTTGAGGCCAAACGCTTTGCATGACAACCTCTCCTCTATGAAGCACTCTGACCGACGTGTGGTAGGAGACTGCCGGCGTGAGGGGCGAAGGAACAAGTCCGTCGATGATGTGATACGCAATCTTGAGACGACGGTTGATCTGCTGGTATGCCTGACAATAGCCCTTGTGCATGTACAAGCTATGCGTGAGCGTACTGCCAGGAAGAGGGCCCAATGCCAGGGAACGGGCTCCGTGCCTCTTTTTTGAATTGTAATGAGAAATCCACCGGTAGGGAGCGTCGGGATACAGAATGACCTCACTGTAATGATCAAAGGCGTATGTCCTCAACAAGCGCTCCGCATCCCTAGCCGCCTGTGAGCGGCGCCTTTTCCCTTGAGCCTGCTCTGATTCTGTTGACACTAGCAAGGCGCCTTGGACGACGTCTTTGCGAGCAGCTCTGGATGTGCCCCTGTTGCGTATTTGGGGAGCATCAGTGCTATTAGAATGGGCATCACTGGCCTGGCCAGGCAGTGCGACGTCTAAAGGTACTGCCTGGGGCACAATCTGCCCTCGCTTTGACCTCCGCAGCCCAACGCTGTTGACCGCTCTGTTGACACTCTGCACATGGCGACGAGGATTCCGCGCCATGACGTCGCCAGCCTGAATGCATGACTGATCCCTCAGGAAAGAGCATCAGGGGACTTTTGAAGGTTAGCGGAGGATACCTCCAAGCGCACACATAAACTCACGACAGTCGTGAGACAAGCCCAAAGCGCCAGTTGCCGCGAGCGATGGACAGGGCCCACAGTACGCAAAGCAGATGGCAATCGATTGAGTGTGCTGAGCGTACGGCAAGTGGTGCAACGAATCAGAAAGTCACAAGTGATGAGGCAATGGATGCGGGCACGCGCGCGCGCGCGCGTACAATTGTGAAAAAGTTTGTCGGATCTGCCGCGCCAAAACAAGACTTTTTGCGCGACGCCTTGCGTGTCCTACGCGCGGCCGATCTCGTTTCTGGACTTACGCGGCAAAGTCGGCAAACCAGCGCCACAGATCAACTTTTCACGCTTCAGCTTGCGTGTCATCGCGCGCAACGAGCGTGAGCGCGGGCGCGGGCGCGGCTATGTGGGCGCGCACATGCGCGGCAAGTCTCGCGTCTACTCGCGCAGAGTGCTCTGATGCCCGCGGGTTCGAAACCCGCAGAGCGCTCTGATGCATGCCCTGCGTGTTTGCGTTGCGCAGGCGGCGCCCTGAGCCGAGGCTGCACTGCGCTACTGCTGCCTTGACCGTATGTTGGTTCCGCGCAACACCGCACCTCGCAGCTACGACTTTTGCTTGTTAAGTTAGAGCAGTACAGTTAGGGTTAGGGTTAGGCCACCGCGCAGCGGCTTGTTTTTTTTAGGGTTAGGGTTAGGGTTAGGGTTAGGG